TAGATCTCATTATATGACCAGCATCTGCAGAGCCAGAGCTGTAATTTTGAGGTTTAGATGAAAGGAATATGTTTGTGACTAAAAGGATTTTTCACCTGTCTGATTCTTTAATAACATTTGGTTTTCTTTAATGATATTGGTAGCTATATTTAGGCCAGCTGTCTGTTAATTTCATTATATGACTTCAAATACATTATTTCAACTACCGTAATATTATTTAAGGAAACTTTCTAGAAAATGTTTTGGATATTAGCATTGAATATTCTTAAAGAAATGAGACCCACCAGATTATTCTTGATATCCCTATTTTAACTCAGATAGTAACTTTAGGTCCATTATTAGGCTTACGTTGGAGCCTCCTTGTGTTAAATGATGTTTTCCTTTTCTCTCTTACAGAAAGGTTGTGGCTACCACCTGGATCTACTGATTGTGTCAATAATGCTGGGGGTCTGCTCCATTATGGGCTTGCCATGGTTTGTGGCTGCGACTGTCCTGTCCATCTCCCATGTTAACAGCCTGAAGGTGGAGTCTGGTTGCTCTGCTCCAGGAGAGCAGCCCAAGTTTCTGGGCATTCGGGAGCAACGGGTCACTGGGTTCATGATTTTTACCCTCATGGGCTGCTCTGTGTTCATGACCTCCGTGTTGAAGGTGAGATCAGTAGAATAATGCTTTATATCACTACAAAAAGTATTGAGAAGTAGCTTATTTTATAGACATCTAAAAGTTTCAAGAAAACACTGAACACATTTTTCTTTATTCTGTAAGATTATTTATTGTTGTGGGCAATTTGCTGCTTTTTACAGTTTATTCCCATGCCAGTTCTGTATGGAGTCTTTCTCTACATGGGTGTCTCTTCCCTCAAAGGCATTCAGGTAAGACTCCATCTATTACAGGTGCCTTTAAAACGTGTACTAGCAGTTAGTTTAACATCCGTGACATGTTTTCCTTTAAAATAACAACTTCTCTCATCTGAATCACAACTGATATGAGTGTTTTGTCTTTTTCTTCTTAGTTCTTTGACAGAATCAAACTGTTTGGCATGCCTGCAAAGCACCAGCCGGACCTGATCTACCTACGCTATGTGCCGCTGTGGAAGGTCCATATGTTCACCCTTGTGCAGCTCACCTGTTTGGTGCTACTTTGGGTGATAAAGGCCTCTGCAGCGGCTGTCGTATTCCCAATGATGGTAAATGTTTAAACACCTCTGGACTCTTTTTTTTAAACAGTTAGATCCTAACCAAAACATATAAAACACAATATTAAGTGTAAATGCGTAAAATTTCTCATATAAGAAATCATTTCTTATAAATGATATATTATGTCAAGTCATTGTCATTATTTGGGACTTTCACGCTGCAGTAGAAAGCATTTATTTTCATTGTTGTTTAGTTGATTTTGGTTTAAATGAAAGCCACAACAATTGTGTATATTTTACGTATGTTGTTTGTCTTCAGGTTCTATCTATCGTGTTTGTGCGGAAGCTTCTAGATCTTTTGTTTACAAAGAGAGAGTTGAGCTGGCTGGATGACCTGATGCCAGAGAGCAAGAAGAAGACAGAGGATGACAAGAAAAAGAAAGCGCGAGAAAAGCTGGTGAAGTTATCTTTTTTTACCTAAGTGATTATTCTCTTTTTATAATATAAAGATATAAAGCTATTTTACAAGACCTTTCTACTGAGAATCTCATGCTGCAATGAAACACTTAAAATTATGTCCTTTAGATTATTCAGCTACTTTTATTTTCAGGCATAACTATTGTTATTTATGACCACATAAATACTAAGCAGACCTTTAAATAAACTGTAGAAAATGCACAGATACTTAAAATGTGCTGTTTTTTGTTTTAACCAATCAAAATAAAAAGCACTGATACCCAACATGATAGAACAAGATGGCAACAAAAGAACTGTTTTACTAAAAATCTAAAACTTTTTGAAGGCTTAGATTATTTTTACAGGCAGGTTGAAATCATCACATGAAGAAAACCTTTCAGAAGCCAACATATCCTAGAAAATAAAATAAATGATTCTAAAACTGTTTGCTTTAGGAGGAAGTATCCAGACTGGAGGAAGAGGAGAGGAAACTGAAGGTCCACTTTGAAGGCTCAAACAGGCTAAGCATCCCAGTCAACTCGTTTTCAGGGAGGTAAGTGTTGCCCAGAGAAGACTCAACGCTGAAGGTTAATCAAAAGGTTATCACTATAGTTATTTAGAGTTTTTAAGCTTGCTTGTGTTTTCATTTGAAACATTTAACAGCAGATATTTGTCACATGAAGTATGGAAAATACTTTGACATAATTTATCATGGTCGAATTTGTTTACATCATAAAACAGTTTTTAAAATCCAGTCAATAGACATTGTTTCATCTCAGTTACATCTGCTGTGTTTTTACTTAACAGTAAGTAATCTAAATACATTTTAAGATGATTTAAATTGCTTCAGGATACCAAATTTCCTTTTTCCTATTTCCTTTTAGCAGCTTTTTCCTCCTCATCATTGATATCATTAGACTGATGTTCTCTCTAAGAGGTTTTAGGGGTTAAATGTTGCCTACAATGGATTTTTCATTGTGTCATGTTGTTTTGAACAACCTGAAATGGTGACTTGGAGAGCTTTGTGTTATTATGTTCACCTCAAACAGATCTTACAGAATAGGAGTAGTGACCCACAGCCTCCCAGTGCAAGAACAGGTAGCAGGGCTGATTGTCTGATGCAAAACATCTGAGCCATATGGCTGCATATTAACGCTGTTTATGCATACTAGCATGGCCCACACAGTGACTCTATTCATATTTAACTTTAAACCAGACTGCTTTGTTTATTTGTAAAGGTTAAATAGAGGGTGCTAGAATGTACTTTTCTAATAGATTTCACTTTAACTAACTTTAAAATGTAAAAAGCATTAGCTTTAACCAAATATTTTTAAATTAAAAAGCAAACAATTTGTTCTGTATTAACTTGGAATGTTCTAGTTGAAAATATGTCCTGTCAGCCTTTCTCTGCCACATTTTGTTTTGAACCATGATTTATGTGCATGCTTGTATCTGTGATTTTTGACCTGTTCTGCACTCATCTTCTCCCATTGACTCAAAGTCCACTTTCTTATCTTTGTGTTTTTGTTTGCATTCTGGCATGAAGTTCTGTTTCTGATGCCTTGGTTGTAAATATCTCTAATGAAATGGTCCAAACCTCAGTGTGGAAAGCAGTGAATTCCAGGGCAGAGTTCTGTGTCCAGCCTGTGAGGCATTCAGGAAGGTAGCCATGCCTACTGAAGTTTTCCAGAGCCTCCTATCAGTGGAATGAGATTAGATTGTTTTGGACAAATTACTTTGCGGAAGCAGGTTATAAGTGTCAATAATCTTAACATGGCTATGTTTTTTTTCTTCTATAAAACAGGCTTAATTTTAACCACTAATAAAATCTCAGACATTTAGTAAGCAAAAAAAGACCAAGAATATAAATAAAAAAGCTTTCCAACTTTCAATGAGATGTATCCTTTAATAAAAACAAAAATATAAAAAGATAAAAAAAAATATGTATAATAATTCACTTAATATAAACATAAAAACAATTTAAAATCAATATGAAGAAAAAATGTAGGAAATAAAAAATGTTCACACTTAAGCCAATAGGTCATTAAAAAACATATTTTGATTTAAAATGACTATAACCTTATTAGGTCCATTTCTTACACTAGTTATAGTAAAATTCATAAAACTGAAATAAAGTATAGTTGCACGGCTTTATAACTACAGAACTATACCAACAAATGATGGCATACCTCAAACAATGAGGGAGTAATTCCTATTCGGAAAAATAAAAAACCGAAGGTTCACACATTGTTTTTAAACATCACGTGAAGATCCTGCCTGTTTCTTATATAGTATTAGGTACAGTGCTAAATGTTATATAACTATGATAACTATTGAAAATATGGCATAAAAATACTTTAATCGCATTAATTCTCCTGCAATATACAGTTGTACTTGACAGTTTACATACCCTCCCATTACAGAAAATAATAAGTTCACACTAGAAATTAAATTAACAAGAAATTATTCAGGAACTCCGTCAGGCCTTTTTTATTTGTTTTGTTTATTAATATATACATATGTATGTATATTTATATTTAAAATCAATGACATGATTTCCATTTTTTTTTTATCATTTTCCATTATTATTTCTTTTGTAATTTTTCAATGTATTTTACTTTCAGCTGATTTTTATGTAATATTTCAAGCACAACTGTCAATACCATACAGTCTATCAGCTCAAAGGCAATATCTGTTAATGATATTTTGTTTGGGCCTTGATAACAGCGACATTATGAAAATGAGAATCTAATCCAAATTGGATGAAAAGAGCAGAAAGAAACAGGTTGTTTAGGCATCCAGGAAGCCAATAGCAACACTGAGACAGCTGCAGGAATTTCTGACAATAACCGGATCCAGACTACTGGTGATGTGAGTCTATTGTTTTCTATGTATTTCTGGACTATAGAGTAGTTCTGTAAAACAGAGAAGTCAAATTCTTTCAAAGCAAAGTTTTCAAGTGTGGCAGCACCAGTGTTGTTCACAGACATGGTAGAAGAAGTAAAGTGCCACTGCAGGTATTTGTTTATAGGCATAATTTCATCTGAGGTAAGAGTTGTAAATATTTCAGTAATTATGAACCGGGCGCCTTTTTAGCAAACAGAGAGCCAGCTGAGGGTCTCTTTATATTTTTAGGGCAGACCAGAGTTCATTTTAAATTTGCACCAATATTTACAGTGTTTAATTATGTCGCCGATCACACTCTGATTCAGCCCTTTTTGTCAAATTGGACAAAAGTTTATTTTCTCACCCTTGGATGGAGTCTGCGATGGGGTTTGAGGTGCACTTATGGCTGGTCTTTTGTGATCCATCTTCGAAAAACTATTGGCTGTATTCTGTGGCTATCGTCAGTGGCGCTGGAGACTCAACAAAGTAGCCAGGTGAAAGAGAGTGTGCAGTTTGTTATACCCATGCGCTCACCCAGATATTTCAACCCAAACCACTCTCTGATGAACTGACTAATGCCACCTATAGAGGCTACTACAGTCAACAAAGCTCCTTTAAATTGAAATATTTCATAAAAACGACTGATTATTAAGAATAAAACTTTTAACAGGCATGAAATCCAGAAAAAAGAATGAATGAAGAATTCTGGACAGAAGCCTTGTTACAGCCACTGAGCTACTACTGTAACCAGGGGCGCCGTTTTGGGGGTGGGGAATTAGGACGATTGAACCCTTAAGAGTCCCCAAGCCCTTAAGGGGCACAATTTGGTCCCAACAGTCAGGATTTTTCCAGGAGTTGATATCCAGCTTGTTAAAGATATTTATCAAAAGAAAACGCAACGCTCTACATTAAATAAATCACAGCAATTTGGCGGATCTGCTAATTAAAGTCTATGGAACTGTTGTAATATTCAGTCATCGGTGTGGAACAGAAACTTCTTAAAGCCAAAGCAAATTATTATATTCCATTAGTGGTTCCCAGCTTGTTTATTTTTTCTTTGTTTATATATTAGAACATACATTTTGTATACATTTCAAAGTCGAACTGTTAGAGTAAAACTTTTAACAAAACCTTCTTGTGTGGTAAAAACATCTCAGAACCTCTGGAACCTTGTTCAGACAGAACTCAGGTTGGAACCCACTGCCTGACTTGCTGCTACTATCCTTGAAGTGCTGTTATTGGTAATTGATGGATTGATGCCTAAACATAAACCCATGTGAGCGCTCATCATGTGTCTCTTTCTTTAACAGCCAAGAGAAGGTGGCGTGTGTTAGAGTTGATGTCAGCCCAGATTCCCCGGGAGAGGGCTCAACCACAGAGACCTTCCTGTAATAAAGAAACACCCACTGACTCTACTGAGCCGTCAATACTTTCATGCTCAGACGGTGCCTCATCAACATGGCAAAGAGCAAGGCTGAACTGGAGCAGTACTACCCACCTGCTGGAAAAACAGACGAGCTCCCACAGAAACTCATAGTCCTGCGTGTTCAGCACATGTGCTTAGATGCACATGATGCCATACATCTAGAAAAGTACAAAGGAAATCTGATGTTTCCCATTTAGGCAGTTCAGCTCAACTATTTTAAACATAGATGCCAAAGGAAGGCACTTTCTCATGAAGATCTGTCAGGATTTTGCTTTCATGTATTGTTTGGTGTACATCCAGATTTATCAGTAACAGTCACAGTACTGTACATTTTTTGTTTTACCTCATTTTTTTTTTTATCTGAACAATAGTTAAGGTTTTTATTTAATCAACATAGATGTCGACCATGAGTCGAAACCAGGAGATTTTATCTTAATCAACCTCGACTGGATAGAAACCGAAAAATTTTATCTTCACACACACTATACCAAAGCACTACCAAGTTGAAGTAACAAACATTCTTGGTATTTAAAAAAAAAAAAGACACAAAGTTAGCTAGTTACGGTTGTGTTAAAATCTATCTTCAAAAAGGAAGCACAAAAGGCTTAAAGAGCTTTTAAAAGTAAACCATACAATCTGTAGAGATAAGTCGGGGTATCATTCAGGGCCTCCATGAGAGAGGAAGACTTTCCACAGATAATAGGAAGGTGGAGCTACTGGAGCATAGGAATGCTGTTTGATCTCTCTCATGCAACAGACAGAGGGTCTGCGAGGTGTTTAAAATTATAGCTGGAGAAACGCAGATCTAAAAAGCTTTTTTACATGCCATAGCTTAACCTGGCTGTGAGAGAGGGCAACGCTTTAAACGGATAACAGGAAGGCTAAGCGGAGTACACCAATGTTTGGTTTGTTCTTTTAAGCCTACAGCATCAGTCTCTGATAGAAAGTCATATATTTTAGATAGAAAAACTTGTTTTACAGTAAGTGCTTTCTCAGAGAGATCTTTAAAAGCAGTTCCTGCTACAATCAGCTAGTAGCTCAGAGCTTTACAGAAATCAAAAACCTGCTTCAGAATTCTGATGGGTGCATCTCTTGACAAAAACATTAAAGTAATAACCATGAATTTTGATTTATTTCTACAGTTTTTTCAGACTCCTGTTGCACCAAAAACACTACACTGTAAAACCGAAACCATCTGCTGGGCAAACCCAGTGTTCAATATTTCTGCTTTGAAGTTGCTCAGTCATTTTCACTATTCAACCCAAAGCGCATAGTGGATGTTAGTGTTTTATCTGTGTGTTTATGTGCTGTATTCTGTGTTATCATAGAAAAGAGGCCATATAAAGTCTGTACTATACAGGAAGCACTTTGATTGTAAACTTTATGACTTAAAGCAGATTACATTGTTGAACTTACTTTCCTAACATTTTTTTTAAAGATGTACAAATATAATTCTAGAGTGGTCAATAATTTGATCTCTTTTAGCCACAAGGCAGTTATGATTACTTGCCCTCTGTTTTATCTGTTGTCGCTGGCATCATAAATATTTTAACTGAGTAATGAAATATATTTAAGATGCAAAATAAAGAATATAAAGTATTTGTGGACCGCAGTTATAGTTGCACTTGATTTTATACTGTCTGTATTATTGTGAATATCGCTGTGTGAAAATGTCTAGAGTTTAAAATTGTTTTATGCAAAATATTTTTACTGTAAATGTAAAAAAAAAAGATGATGTTGGAATTTGATTTCCTTTTTGCAAAGTGAAGTCCCGTTTTAGCAATAAATATTCTCTACACTTTAACATTAGGAGTCCTGCACTCCTCGAAATATTCTGGCCTAAGAATATTTTCGTGCAGCATTTTGTGCGTCTGTTTCATGTGTGTGGCGCCTCTGCAAACGACAGCTCATGGTGCCTTGTTGATGCTCTTTATGTGTTGTGTACCGGGCCATGTGATGGTGCACCGAGGGGCCGTTACATCCGTCACACTGCTCTGTCGCAGAGGCTTCTGTCTGTCGTATCGTTCCATGTCATTCTCAAGAACATGGCCTTGTCTGTTTTTCATTTACCTTACTAAACAATGTGTTTCTATGTCACAACTCCGATGTACGCTCACCACCAAAAAAAAAAGGAAAATTAACAAAAGTTTATCTAAATAATCAGTATATGTTCAATTTATTGTGGTGTCAATGTCAAATATAAATGTGAATATTTACTTATTTTGCTGATAATTAGATCAGTTGATAGATTATGTAAATGATGAAAGACCCTATTTTCAAAGTATCACTACTTCTCAGAATGTATGAATCTGAATGAAAAGTCTCTTAGAAAAATGATGTTTAGCCATCTAAATCACTTGGTAAAAATGTACTTCTACTTGTGTACGGATCATCAGTGATTCTGTTTGCTGACTTCAGTCATGGCTGGTTGTTGCAAAGCAATAAACTAATTATTGGGGATTTTTTTCAGTCTTTCTTTCATCCTGAATGGTGACTGATTTTAAATAATATATAATGTGGATTATTTTTGTTGGTACTTTTTCTGTCAGTAACACCTGAGTACATTTGAATTACAGCAGCACAGTAATAAAACTTAGAAAATACTGTTTTATTTATATTTTTATTTTTTGTTTAATGTCACTTTGCATAGCATTCTATTTCAGTCCGTTCATTCAGATATATTAAAACATTTTTGAGTCTTGCAAATAAACTATGAGTACAAGTTTCCCTCTGGGAGAATATAAAATCTGAATGATTTAGCCCCATTTTTAGGTAGACGACTGAATTGAATTGAAGTGGATAATTTTTGTGTGAAAGATAATATCAAGCACTGTATATCAGTAGCCATTTCCTCTCCATAGCTGCATGTAACAAATTGTATATAAAATAAAATGCAATGATATGGGCAAGGATACAATCATCAAGAGCAGAATGAATTACAGTATTTTATTCTGTGTATACAGTAGCAGCCATTCAAAATGGCAATTTCCAGCCGAAAAAGCAGCCCACTTCCATGCATCTCACGGCAGAATCCCCTCCAACTTCCAGCCACTGGAGGGACCCCCTTTTGCATATTTTTTTACTCTGACTCCAACTTTTCACTGAATTACAGGGTCTGACCAGGAGAAGGCGCTTCTCTTTAGATCTTAATGTCCACAAATCATGACAGAAAGAATATTTTATTAAAAAGATTGATGTTAAAAAGGAAGTGTAGGGGACCAGCCAAGGGCCCATCAAGGAAAGTGGGGAAATTGTGCATGCTACTACTGTAACTATGTCCCATCGTGCCATATTTGGATAAAACCAAGCAGCATATAACCACAAATATATCAACTTATAAGCACGGGGGTGGGGGAGAATTTCATAAGCACCTTGCATTCATTCATCTGACAGTGCGAAGTAATTTGACAACTGGGTCACCAGTAGAATGATGACTCAAAACTCAGTATCAAATCAATACCATTAAGTAAGGGTGTCAACTATGATCTAAAAGACATATTGCTTTTGCTTTCTCATCTGGAAAGGTTTATAGGTCCATGTTCTAAGTGTTTTTCATGTGTGAAAGATGAAAACTAACAGACCATAAATTTGGCAAAAATAATCTTAACTTGCAAAGCTGCATCTGAAGGACTGAGATAAGACAATATTTAGCGAAGGTTGAATGGGATAAATGAAAAAAAAGAGAGCAAGGGAGGAACTAAAATATAATTCATCCTATGTGTGCCAACCTCAACACATTGCAGCTATGACCAACTGCCTTTAATGCAAGCAGCAGTTTATTCTGACCTAAAACTTTAGGTGGCAGCAGAGAGCCATGTTAAAAATGGCTGCAGGCAAACATAAACCATTTCACCCTTCAGTCAGTTTGATTTCCTGGAATAATGGAAGACCTTGCTGTGTTGTTAATGAATCATTATACCCTTTATGATTTGAAGTTGTTTTGTAATGTAGAGTCCTGCTTCTTTTTGTGAAAAAACAGCATCCTGCTGTATCCGGTCTTAACTTTAAGGAAAGGTATTGTGTAATTTCATTAACACAGCTGTAGCTCAGTCAGCATTCAATCAGGTGTTAGAGGTACAATCTTTTGGTGCGAATTATTTCATTTCAGAAACTTGAATAATTTCCCATCTAACACTTACTCTAATGTGATAGTAAAATGTGTCACCTGACCACAGTGATATTTCTAGTAATTTATTATCTTCCAGGAATAAGTCTAAAAATGGACCTCGGCACACTATGTATCTGTAAATGATGGAGGACATGATATCGCACCTTTCTCCACGAGGAGGACACTGAGAATTTGGGATCCACAGACATGTAATAGCTAAATATATCTCAAGACAAAAAATAAGTAATTAGAAATAGCAGTTTTAAACTAAATGTTAAATTAGAGCATCCAGGAAAATGTTGAGTTCCACTTACAGAAACTTCCCAAAATAAAAATCTTATATTCATGAATCTTTACGTCCTTATATATATATATAAAAAAAAAAGATTCAGAAGCCCACAGCTGCACCCAAAATATTAAAGTAGTTTATCTTAGTAATCCTGTGCAAAAGGGGAAGTTTTTATAAAACTTCAGCACAACAGTCCCCCAGATGCTGCTTGTCCTAGAAGGATAAGTCAGTTAAGGCCATAGAGGGATGGGTTTCATACGGAAATCAAGGTTGTTAAAGTGAGAGAAAAGAATCCAGGACATTTTATGTGGTGTGAACTTTCCAGACTGCCGAAGTTACCAATTGGCTTTAAAGACCATATTTACTACTCCTAACTAGCAAACTGGCATATTGAGAAAGCATTTAGAGGATGAGGAACACTAGACTTAACAATCAAACAAAAGGCTAACCTATAAAGCAACTTTTAACACAGAAGTCGAGGATTTTTGCATCTGCACGATGCTACAAAGAGTCAAAAATTCATGCAAAAATCAAAGACTCAGCCAAGAACTGAGGGCATTGCATGGATATATGGACTATATATAATTCTCCTAGTTTATTCTTTTACTAAATTAGTGGACTAAATATACTTTTCAAAAATATTCAAATCAACTGACCTTCCCCTGTAAGTTTCCAGCTTTGTGCATTAATGATTTATGCTTATCACAACAAACTGAAAAGTAATAGCTGCTCACTATATGATTATAAAAACAGTCAGTGTGTTAATATGCTGTCTATTTAGTAACATTTGTGAAAACTGGAGCATACCAATTGAATCACAAGACAACATTATGCCAACTTTTTTTTAGTAAAGATATAATTTAGAAGAAATATCAGGAGTCGTTTTCTTAAATGTAATTCTGCATTAAGCAGTGAATAATCACCATGTAGAAACATATATTTCAAAATATCCTGTCAGTGAAAGAAATCATACTCTATTACATGTTAAAGATATATGTTTATTGTTTTATAGCCTTAAATTAAGTTTGTAAAGAAACAAACCTGAAGCCATCAGTCACGCAACTCTGCACATTACAAATGTTTTTGGACACATTTCATGAACTTTCAGACCAAACTCCTGTTAATATATAACAGGAGCTACATGACCCACAATCAATTACAGAAATCAAACTTCTGTACTAAAGTGACCATTTTCAGTTTTCATCTCTCATTATAACCACCTTTCCACAGCTTTACAAAAGACTACTTGAACAAATCTGGCTGTTTCTGAAGAGGATGCGTTACGCTGTGAACATACTCTGGGAATCCACCTGCTGGTTCTGGGTTACAAAGCATTACTGTTACATTTGATCACAGCAGGTAAATCAGCCTTTTTTATTCGACTCCTAAAATAATTTGCTTCTTAAGATAAAAGACAAACCTCCATTAAGAATACTCATATTAAATCTTTTTTTTTTTTTTTTTTTTTACTGGATCTGTCCTTTGTGTTTCAGCTCAGAGAGCAAACAATTAGGGAACGTACAACACTGCACCATGAGAGAACCAGTTTCCTTCTCTTCCTCTGAAATGCAGCACCATGTGCTGCTTGATGTTCAGTTAGCAACGTTCTGTGGCCCTTCTGGGATGAGTGACATAAAGAACGTTATGATAAAGGACCATGTGGAGGACAGGAAGCCCGCGTTCGGGGCGCTGTCTGGATCCTCTGCTCCTTCCTCTCCGCTCTCTCCATCGTCATCCGAAGCATCATCGTTCACTCCATCCTGCAAATATAAATCACCTTCTGATTAGGGCGAGCCCACTGAAACTGCAACCAAAGGTGACTGAAAAAGTGAATAATCAAAGCGCTGAATATAAAATTATATGTAGAAAATGTAAAACCAGTCATAGGTTGTCTGCATAATAAAGTGCTAAATTGAAAATGGTGACTAAATTTTTACCTCCAACATATTAGCACGGTTGGCTATAATTGTTAGAAAAAAATATCAACTTTAAATTGTTATATTTAGGTGATAGAACTAACTTTTCTCAAAGCAGTACAAATTCTTATTTCTCCAACTAAAAAAAATAAATAAAACAATCTATGGCGGGGTTTCAGGGAGAAAATGTGACAGATAAGTGGGGCGCTGTACCGCTTCTTGTAAGTCTTGGTTTTGTAGGTCTCCCTCCATTTCTTCCTGATTGGGCCGGTCTCCAGGGAGCTGCAGCTCGTTTTCCAGGTTGAAGGGAAACCAGCCGGCCTGATGGCTGCAGACACAAAATCACATTCATGATGGGAGGGAAAGTGTTTTGCCTTGCAGACACCACCCATCTAAATTAAAAACGCACATTTGCTTTAATGCTGTGATGAGTTTGAAGGCAGAAACTACAACTCCAAACATCATCCCTGCAGTCAGTTCATCGGGATTAGGATCGCCACCAAGTTTTCACTCTTCAAGTTAATGTAGGTGTTAATATCAACTGTTTTGCCAGTGAAATAATAAATATTTTAGTTTGGTGATCAGAACTTGCTTTTTCTTCTACATGAAAAAATACGTTCTCCTGCTTATTTAAGTAGAAGCAGTGAAGTGTAATCTTTCCATATATATTTCAATGTTCTTGTTCATTTCTGATGGTTTTATGCTAACAGCTCTGCAGAAATCACAGCCTGGATGCAGCAAAGTTTCCTTCCTTCTTCCCTTTTACAGGTCGTTTTATTTTTTTATTCCTTCCTTTCCATCTTTCCTTTCTCTACCTCATGCTAATCATTTCCTTTCCTTCCTCATGATCTCACCTTGAATCTTTACCTTTTCCCATATCTCCTTCCTTCCACATTCTTGTCCTTCTTATTCTCCTTCCCTCTTCAATCTTTTCATGTGCGAGCTCCACCCCTGCTCCCTTTGTCCTTTCTTCTCATCTTTTTTGAATACCCAATTCCATACTTGCTTTTCTGTCTATTTTTTCTCTTTTTTACCATTCTTCAGTTTTCTATTTTTTCTAGTCCTCATGTACATTTTTTTTCTTTTTTACAAAGTCATTTGAATTTCTCCATCCCTCTTATCTTTTGATTCCTTCCTTATCTAATTTCTTACTCCAATTTTTCAGTTTTTACTGTTACCTCTATTCCACTCTATGCATACGCCCCATAAAGTTAGATTGACAGGACAGGGCTGACAAGTCTGGACCTCTCTGGAAGTTTGAAATGAGCAAGTTTTCTTTTCCTAAAACCAACCCTGGGGTTGGAAACCAGTTTTGCCTTTTTCAACATCAACAGAACAAAAAATAATCTCTCACTGCAGGTATCGGAAGTATTTAGGAATAATAAACATTGAAAAAAATATCCACTTGTTGGCAAACACAAATGAAAAATGCTTCACTCACAGGTAGAGGACCAGCATGGCCATCATCACCATGACAAAACGGCTGAAGGATGAGTAGAAGTAGACTATGCTAAGCAAGATGGCAGCACGAGAGAATGTGTAGACCCAGTCCAGCCAATCCCTGTTGAGCTCCTCCTCATTTAGGATCTCCCCTCCCTGGGCATTCATTTGGACTTCGGGGTTTCCGTGCCGACCCGCCTGCGGTCTTTGGCTCAATGGGTCCGCCTGACTGGAGTGATTGGACATCTGGTCAGGTCGGTTTTGTAGTGAGGAAGCTGCCAGTAAATGACTGGAAAAGACCGAAAAGAGAGAGAGAGAAAACTATGAGCTAACAGAAAGGCCCAGCAAGATATGGGATTAGAATGCAAGGAACAACATAAATGGCCCTACTAGTGCAAATAGTATTGTCTTGCATACAGCTGCTGCCACCACATCAAAGTCATGGGGGTGTAATAGGAGGGCAGGTTTGTGGAAGCTGTTGCCATTTGCTGATTCCAGCTGGAAAGAAAAACCATAATAAAAGTACAGAAATAAGGACTCTCACAAAAATATACTTTTTTGATTTCATAACAGAAGGATTGTCTGTTCCAATTAGGACAAAGTCTTTCTAGATAAGACAGCAGTGCTTGAGAAACATTGAAATCAGAATTTACTTAAACAGCAAACCTGAAGCTTTAATATAAACAGCTGATTTCTGTGCTGCAAAGGGGCAGAGCATCAATCCGTGAAGGTTTTAACCCACCACTAAGATAAGTGGAATCAATGGGCCTCATACAAGAACTGTTCAGAGGAACAAATACTTTTAAATCGTTCGTACGGGAGATTTAGGTCAAAATATCACATTCACCATTTTTCTCCTATTTCTAATCTTCTCTCAGCTGTTATCCAAATCTAGTTTTTCAATAAATGGCTACATTTTTTTTTCCTATAGGGCCACTGCCCATCTTATTAGACTACATCATTATATATTATATAACTCTGCATTTATAAATTAACATTTTATTCTATAAATCAATACTTGCATCTGACTTATCAGTATCAAGAGGATTTTGTTTTTATTTTCTTGTCATTTCCTCAAAAGATAGAACAGTAAGAGATCAGGCTACTATTAAAATAACATCTGGAAAAGAAAATGGATAAAAAGTTCAGTCAAACTCCTCCTAACGATGAGACTTGTTTTCATTTCTCTCCATGGAGGCTCATTTGGCTTCTCTTTTACACTAAATGTTTAAATGTCTGTCTGACTTTGATAAATTTGAGTTAAGCTGTCAGCGTTGTGAGAGAAATTATGATGAAGGAATGGCAGACGTGGTCTGGACATGTGCAGCACAGGTGTGTTTGTACATTAAAAGGAGATTCAGCAGAAAGTTGTTGTGTTGGTTTAACTTGAGCTCATATTAACTATTTTGAGCATATTTTTGACTTTTTTCAAAATAAAATTTTTCTTTTTTTATTATTTAATTTTGTTTACTTCTGTGCAACCATGGCATTTACAGCTCTTGTATTTTATTCCCCACTCCTTGGCTTTTCACTGCTCCTTTAATTCTGCTTTTCAGATCCCAGTCAGACCTCGATGTGTGAACCTTTAAAGTTTGTCTTCTTGGTCTTCAGAGCCATTGCTGCGAATGAACACGCAGGCATGGGAATTCGTAGCGTTGTATGGGGCAGTAATTATGCAGATTTACATTTCTCAGGAACGCACACTCACTTTCGCACAGGTGGGCTAAATCACGTTTAAGAGTATTACGTTTATTAAACCTGACATACTGTGTTCATAAAAGCCTACAGGAGGAGAAACTTATGACAAGAATCCAAAAATATTGTTGCATGAGGCCCAATGTCTGGACAGATGCTGGATGGGATTAAAAAGGAATGAAAAGAAAAATTGGATCTACTAATGCAAGCAAACCAAAATAATTTCCGTTATTCATTCTGCTAGCAAATCATGTGAGCCCTAAATCAAATAAACGTATTGAATTAATGTTGGATTTAAAGAATAAGGGTTTTGTGCTGTATTAGGTTTTAAATACAAAAGCAGACTTTATTTATTTAAAAGATAAAGTTCACAGCTGATTCCCTATCTTTGCTCTGTCAAAGGCGTTCAAGTCAAAGAGCTTACCTTTGCATAAATTGTGAATACATGTGTTGGTAGGGGAAGGCTCCAGCTTGCTGTCTCAGCCAATCATTGCTCTCTCCAGCTGTCGTCTGACCTGCCTGACCAGCACCATTAGAGCTCTGAGAGGCCTGGAACCAGAAATCGACCCAATATTAGCAATAGCCATGAAATAAACGCACACACAACAATGTGAAACCTCCAGGGAGATGGGGATTACAGCAGTGAAGTGCATGATGAAAAGAAGAGAGATGATGATGAAATTATTGGAAACAGGAGAGAAGGATGCAGATGACCCACCGTGGGACTGACGGTGGTCTCCTGTGGCTTGTTACTGCGGCTGCGGGGCGGCTGTGGGGAGCTGGGAGGGGTTCTGGAGGCACAGACTAGATGGAGCATATGGTACTCATCCTGCTGTAGAAGGGAGGACAGCTTATTAGCTCACACACGTCCAGTATTGCATGTTCTTCACAACTTTATCCAAGTACTTTACCCACACAGAAAACATCAAAGCACTTCTAGCCAACACTTTGAACATGTGTTCACGTAAGAGTAGAAATAAGATTATTGATATAACAGATATTGTTTTATCAAACGCTAAACTAAAAATAAAATAAAAGTAATTTATACAATTGTTAGAGACCATGCTACTAACTAAATTTATTCATTTTCTATTAGTGGAAAAGGGGGATTTGCCCTAATACAAATTTACAGCAACTTACCTTCCTAAGCACATCTTTTAAGGTAAGGTGATCTAAAAGCAGTTTCCCAGAATAAACCAGCCTCTGGTCTTTGGAGCTCTAAAAACACAGAATAATGACAACGAGGTCATTGGAGATGTGGTTAAGTTAATGACATTTATTTTAGGAACAATGTAGGACACCAAGATTTTCATGCTTGATTTAGTAAAAAATTCTGAATACCACGTTTCAGACGGGAAGGATTACAAAATTAAAGGTCAAACAACTGATGTAAGTAATAAGAATGAGATCATCGTCGCCTTAGTACGAGTAAGTGGCTCTTCATGGATTTAGCAGCAAGTACCACCAGGTCAGAGCCTGCCCTGATTAAAACTAAGTCCATTCTACTACCATTCAAGAATTCAAATGGCTTTTAAAGCTGCTAAGCTTAGCATATACATCAGAGGTAATGATAAATAACCCAAACCGAAGTACATCCCTTTGTGTCAGGTCGCTGCAGAAGGCAGCAGTTTCTATCTGTTAAAAGAAGACGGCAGCAGAACAAGTTCTCTGCACAGAGAACAAAATCAGATTAGAGCTACAATAACGCCGGAATCTAAATACTTTAGAGCTCTGACGTCTTAAATCCTCTGGCGTTTCTTTTAGCTTTGGAAACCCAGTTTCTCTAACTTGGAGATTAGATCAGAAGTCTGCAACGCTTCATGATTTTTCAAACGTGATAAGATTCAAGGAAGAAACTCTGCAGAATCCACAAAGTAAAATAAGGTTATATAAGTTTTGGAAACATAAAAAAAAGACAGAAAACACTTTCTGTGATTTAAGCTGGGTCTCTGATATTTGGTTGTCAGCTTTAGGCTCTTAGGCATCCAATAAACATGTCATCCGATGACTATCAGGAAGTATTTCACTATCAGAGTCTGTGGCTGCAGTTTTTGCTTCAGGTATGGAATTCATGATTACACTTATAACACGATTCCTAAGAAAACCTTTTTCTTTACCTGCTAGTGAAGATTGACTGGTTGATAATCACTGCTGAGCATTTAAATTAAGCATCCCAAAATATCAATATCTACCAATTAACTTCTTTTTATTCTTATAATCAAACTTTTTTCTTGACAAAACTGTTACATTTTCTTTAACATGAGTAGAATTTTAAAATCAACCTACTGTAATCCTCCTAAGATTTGAATTATATATAAATTAAATGTTATATGCTTTTCATTTAGGACAGTATCCTTAAAAAAAACTAGATCTAATTTTTATCCTAATTTCTGGATAAAACTATGATCTTTATTGAAAAATAATGCAAGTTTGCTGCATTTGTGTTTCATTGCTGAATGTTTTCCATCTTTGGGATTAAGATTTAGCAACGAAAGGTTGCCTTTATCTAATGTCTTGTTATATACCTAGTCATAGTTTTTGCCTTTTTGAAGCAAAGAGTTTTCAAGACTATTCTGCAATGCATAGGCAAAATGACAATAAAGATTTTCTAATCTAATCATTAGTTTAATTAGGAACCACTACAAGTCAATTATCAGTAGGGCTTTAGAATAACCAAATGAAATAATCAAATGAAATAATCGTCAACTAATTCAGTAATCGTTGAATCTGTTAACTGAAGTATAGAGACAGAGGGACCCACTTAGAGCAGTCAAAATTGTTAAAAAAAAACAAACATTTTGCATTTAAGATGAAAAAACTTTTACTCCTGTCAGTATGTTCCATTCAGAAGTCCACGAGTCGAAAAGTTTTAGTTTCACCTGGTTCAATTCTGTATAAAATCTTCTTTAAGGAACCTTTCACTATCTGATTATTAATAGATTATTTAGAAAAATGATCGACAGATTAATCGATCATCAAAATAATCGATAGTTGCAGCCCTAATTAGGGGTGTAAATCCACTTTATTCCGGCGATTCGATAAAGTATCGATTTCCTGACCCAACGATTCGATTATTTTCGATACTCAAGAGCACACCATGATACGATTTGATTAATTTGTTGGGTTTTTTTTAACCTTAAATGCTAGTCAATGTTTCAAATTTGATATAAATCAATCAAGAAAAAACATGAATTGATACTCTTGCGACTGTGTCGATGCATCGAATCGCCGGCTGTTAGATTGATGCATCGATACAAAACGATTATTATTTACACCCCTAGCCCTAATTATCAGAAAGGTATTTAAACTACAGAAAGTATTAGCTGATCAACTTCTGTTTTTGTTTGTTTGTTTATTTTACATAATTTACTTCATGTTTAATGGCAATAATTTCATAGTTGTTGTTATTGTTATTTGGTCTATGGGGTTTTTCAAAGTTTATATTTTAATATAATTAATTTTAAATTGAATAATTACTAAAGTTTGTAATAAACCTAGACAGTCAGCAAAGCATAGCACTGTTGGTGCTCTCTAGTAATACTACTCAGTGTTAAACAAAAGCAGATTAAACAATCGGATTTAACTGGAATATTGACTAGACAAACTGTATTACGTTGCTTACAGCTTACAACAGTGAAATGTATACAGTTTTACGAAATATATTTACTGTATTTTTGTATAAGAGAGACACTTACAGGTTTACTGGGGTAAACATCAGACAAGTGGGCTTTAAGCTTTTCTACGGTCCAGTTCTGGTAGCAGTTGATTGTCTGGTCATCGTACTTCTGGTTGGGAGCCTTGATGACGAGGATGACAGGACTGTCCACAACAGCTTGATCCATGACTCCAAAACATCTGCCTTCACAGAAACATCCAAAGAAAAGTCTCTGGGACACGCCTCTCTGTGCCCTGCTTCCAGTCTTAAATTATTTTGTGAATTTCTAACGACGACGGAGTCCTTCAGTTATTTGGCACGGGGGAGAAAACTGAGAAATAAGAAACAGTTAAAGTTAGAAGCAACCCTTATATTTCCCTTTTTTTATCAAAGCAAATGACAAGAACAAGTAAACAAAAATATACAGTTAATTTTTGTGGCACAAACAGGAAAGCTTTCCATAACATTAACTGACAACTCAATATTTAAAACTACCTCAAGACTACGGATAGAGCCGAGGCTCGCTGTCTGTTTATCTCAATATAAAACATAAAATAACTGACCGCCACTATGTCAGGAATATTTGACAGCTAGCTAAGCTAATATTAGCTTCAACCGATTTCTTTTACCAACAACCTTAATGAAGCCATAGATAACACGCGGTTATCTTCTATGGTGAACAATAGCAGGTAATAAGACCCGGCCTTGTGTCAGAGTATGCTCTAAAGGATGTCAAAGCTGTTTTGCAGACCTTGTTTATCCCCAGTGACCGAAATGTTTCATCGTTAAAGCCCAGCCTAGCTTCCTCCGCTTCTTCCCCAGTGTTACTGGCGGATTGTAAACAACACTGTGGCGCACTACCGCCACCCACTGGCCTGAAGACGATAGTTGTAAATAATAATAATAATAATAATAATAATAATAATAATAATAATAATAATAATAATAATAACAATAATAATAATAACAATAAGATTAGCGCCAATTCAGAACATATGTAATTTCTGAGCACTTTACACAGACAATTCAACCAGATCATACAGCCAGATTGGTTCAAAGTTTTCTGTCTAAGGAAAACCAGCTGATTGCATCAACTCATTGCCATGGAAGCAATCCCTCACACCAAGCATGCTTGTAGCGACAGTGAAGAGGAAAACTCCCTTTTAACAAGACGAAACCTTCAGCAGAACTAGCCTCAGTGTGAGCGGCCATTTGCTGAGGTCGACCAGGGCTCAAGGAGACAGAAGCAGAGATACAAAAGACAACTGTAAACTAGCTCCACAGGAGGCCCATCCAGGAAGCACAGCCAGGCAGACAAGCTCCGAGCCAGCTCCCATGTCAGAGGATGAGAGAGAGCATGTTCAGTTGGTCATATTCAGTTATAATAATAATAATAATGACTTAGAAGGAAATCAAAACTGATTGTAAGTTATCATTTATCCCTGCAGAACAAATGATTGCACTTGAAACCCTTAAGCTGTCTGATTGATCGCCAGCTTTGCAGGTGATGAAGCAGACTAAAGATGTTTTATCATTATCTCCCTTTTATCTCCTCTTTCTTTCATCTTTTCTCCTTTTTTTTCTGTTTTTCCTTTCCTGTTCTACTTACATTGCAGTGTCCATATAATCTGTAATACTCCCTGCACGAATTATAATAAAGCTACCGTATTTATATGCATAAATCAAGTGGAACACTACGGCGATAGCAGTACTGCTCCACTTGTAGAAGTAAAATCTGTTTGGCTCTTTTTGGCATCAAAACAATTATTCTTATTGCCACATCGCCATACAGGACACAGAAACAAAAAACAAACAAACAAAAAAAAAACCCTTAAGCAAAACAAAATTAAAAACAGGAAAGAATCACAAATACCAATTTGTAATAAATAAATCAGATTTTTAAAACACATGCATGTCTACATTGAAACAGAAAATAAACCATTTCAACAGAAAAATGATTTACATGACACTAAATTAAGTTAAAGTTAAAACGGATTTAAAAATGGATTTTTTTTAAATTTTCCTTTGCTTCCCTTCCCCTATGGGAACCAGAAATACATTCTAGTTTATCTGCAATTAACATAAATAAGCTGCAGACACACTCTCACAACATGTTGCTACATTTATTATTATTGACCAACGAAGAATGGTCACTCTTTGAGGGTGAAATTATTTTTGTTTGTTACTGTCATCTGCTGGAGAAAATTCTTTACTACAACATAAATACACACACAGTGATCTACAGGGTCCTGGTGAATGTCCAGATCTGAGTGCACTACTGTTTGACCACGACAAAAGGGAAGTCAGGATGTACTAAAAAATACACAACTGATGTGCGATGTTTATCAGTCCACCTAGCATTTTTTACTGTGCAAATACAACCCAACGGAAGGATTTAAACGTTAACAAGTACTATAAAATTTAACTAAGCAGTTTAATTACTGCTCAAAAGCAGTAATGGGCAAGCTCAAAAGCAGAGATAATTAAAAAAAAGAGAAACTTGTTCGAGCTTTCAAACAGAAAGTGCAGTTGAGTGTTTCCTAAAACACCAGCATACTCTCACATGCCTACTCCATCATGGAAGTCTGCCAATCAAATGCAACCTGTCTCCTTTGGCTACGTTGAATCCTAAATGATGAAGGAATTGATGCCTTCTTTAAATATTTGTATTGCATCTTTTATGAACTTGTGGTTCAGACATCAATGTGCTCCTAGAATATTGTTGTTAGACCACCCAGTCCTGGGTAGAGTTACCACTCATTTCTCCATTTGTGGATAATCGCCGTGGTACCAGACTACAGAAATTGTACTGAAACAATTCAAATACTGATAAATATTAAAATCTGTGTTTCTTACCTGCTTTTTAATTTGCTGTAAGGAGGTGACATGTTTATACAGCTTATTTTCTATCTGTGGTACATTTTGGACTATGATGAAAGTAATGTGAACTAAAAGAATATAAATGTTTTTTTGTTTGTTTGTTTTAGAAAGCCTAATGCTTGGCTTCATCACTCAAAATCTTTGCATGTCATTTGGGCACAGAGCCTTTGTGCTTTTTCCTGATTAGCAGAGTGCACCTCATTCTTGTTATTGAAATGGTTGCAGCATGCTGCCACTTGTGCGTTAGAGCTCATTAAAATGTTTACAGAATGGAACTGCATTTCTAAAGAAGAAATTCCTTTTACAAAATTGAAATGAGAAGCAGGTGTGGGCTATACAGTATATTTAGGATATACAGTTTCCCTTGTCGTTGTTAATATTCTACTTTAAAAATGTGGTTTAGTAAATTGTTTGATTCATATTCTGAAATTGTGGCTTGACTGGAGACTTTTCTTAAATACGAAATCATTCTAGATATTTACTTCTTGCAAAGTCCATGGAAGCTCATTTCCTCTGAAATAAACAAATGCATACTTCCTACCATGAAATAGTCTCCCTAACCTGATTCAAGAACACCACACATCGGTGGTCAGTATTTTTCATTTAATGGCTAAGCATTAAGTACCAATTTTTCACTTCCTTTCTCTCTGTGTGTCCTATTACTGTGCAGCATAAAGGTCCTTTCCCACGCTCTCATTCTGTGCAGCAGTTATTATATCTTACATAAGAGACACTTTTTGACCTGCTATCCACTGTTGTAAGATTTTCAAGGAGGAAATGCTTGTTATTATGCCATTAAGCATTGTTCTTGCATAAACTTTTCACATCTCTGCAAAAAAAAAAAAAAAAAAAACCCAAACAAAACATGTTTTTTTTTTTAAACTAGCTTTCCTGTGGAGTTGGATGTTAGTTTTAGTTAGACTTTGGTGTGTGTAGCCATTTTAAATTTGTGCAAATGTTGCACAAAAATTATTATTATTATTTTTTTTTTTACAAATTTGCACATAATAAATATCACTGGGATCACATTGAATGAATAGTAGGTGGAAAGTTTTAGGGGGTGAAGAGATCATGGCTGACATTGAATATTGGACCTTTCTTGATAGACGGAGGGTTGAGGTTCCAGTGGAACATCGGTCCATCAACAAAGCTCAGGTTGGGAGGAGTTTGGTGTTGAATTGTCCAGTCATGGTTTGTCATTTCTTTCCAAGTAGGAGCTAGTGAGTGATGGTAAATGGGAGGCAGGACAGGCAGCTGAGTGAGGCAGAGGAAGGAGTAAGGACTTGGAGAAAAAAAACGACTAACAGAAGAGAAACAATGAGAGAGGCCTTTAAAATAAAGCTTAATTTAAAAGCACAAACTAAACTTTTCCATCACCCTATTTTTCTAATGGTTATTGGTTCCAGATGTTTTTTTTTTTCTTGTAACAATTTCAAATTACCGTACTAGATTATATCAAGGCTAATGGCTAAGAAAGTGTTTATATTTATGTTATTTATTAATCAGTAAAAAGTATGTATCTTATTTTAAATTTTTTAGGTTTATTATGCATTCAACATATAATGTATGCTAAAATATGTTTGCAGATGTTAGGTTATAACTGAGTCTAAAATTTTGAATGTAAGCAACATATTTGGTCATGAAACCGGTCAGATTGTGTTCTCTTGCTCACCCTTAATTATGTGTAAGAAACACTTGACAGGAAAAAAGAGAATATAGAGGCAGCATTATTTATCTTTTCCATTAAGTTTGGATTGCTGCAATCACATATAACATTTGAAAAATTGTGTGCTCTGCATTTGACAAACTTAAGGCAAGAGCTCTTTCAGCACTTTTTTACTACAAATTATAGCTTCCAGCAAAATGTCAGCATGCTCTCAGATAGAAAAATACCTGTGACCTATAGCCTCATACTTAAGTCTGCCGAATTATAGAGGTTACCCATAGGGCGTGAAATCATTTTGATGGGATTTCCTTCAGCAGAAAGGAAAATATGAAAGAATTTCTAAAAAGTCTACAAACAATTTTGAGCAAGAGGTTGATACTGTAGATGCATGACAAATAAGGATAATGAATGTAAAACCAAGTACTATTGAAAATGTTTCTATATAGCAAGACATAACAAACTAAGAAAATAAAATAACAGCTGAATATTAAAAGAGATTTTAAATTTTTATATCTCCCAATAACCTTAACGAAATGTAGTTGAATGTAACTGGGCTTTGTAAACTTTGTTTTAAATGTTCTCCTAATTGAATGTTAAATTACAACTTGCTGAACTCCCTTGCTGCTTTTAGATTATAACTTATAAGCTTTAGCCTGCAAACCAGCTCCTAGTGAATCTCCTAAACCAGGCTAAATAGGAGTTAGCCTGTACATCTCTTTTTTGTTTTTGAGTATTATACCTTTCGCAAAATACACATATTTTACATAAATGAGGTACTCTCCAAAAAAAAAAAAAAAACACGTGTCATTCTTGAACTCATGTTTATTTAAGATAATTTGTTTATACATATAGGACTGCTTTTGCCTTGCAGCAACAATGTCCTGATTTTGAATCCCAGCCTGCATGAAGTTTGCATGTTTTCCCTTTGCATGTGTGGGTTCTCTCTGAAGACTTTGGCTTCCTCCCACAGTTCTTTTGATTAGCATCTCTAAATTGCCCTTAGGTGCAAGGGTGTGTGCATGATTAGATGTTTATCTGTTGCCCTGCGATGGACTGGCAACCTGTCTAGGGTGTACTCCTATCTCCTGCCTTTTGCCCATAGCCTGTTGGAGAAAAACACCCTGTGACACCCTGATGGATAGGGAGCATAAAGGGAACTTCTGTTGTTGTGTTTTTTGTTGTTGTTTTTTAAACAGTCTATAAATAATCTTTGAATCAAATAAAGACTGCTAATATTGCTTCTCTGTATAGTAGTTAGTTCATTTATTTTTATTGCTT